AAGAGCAATCATTCAATGATGTTGATACAAGTGATCACATAGCCAAGGCAGAAGAAGTTGAAAGCCTAAGCAAGCCCAGTGATATTGAAAATTCAATTAAGTTAAAATCATCAACCTCAAATGTTGAGAATTTCCCCCTTCTCCCCCTATTTTCTTCTCTCCCACTAATGTATTCATGAAGGTTATATAATAACCCAGAAAACCAGAAAACATATTATTCAATCTTGTGGACTCCGATGATATTAGAACCTAGAAAACCCACAACCCCATGGACTATCAGAAGGCGAGATTGGATGCTGGGTGATTAGGTTTTTGATCTCGTGGATGTATTTGTAGGAGAAGGGGTGGAGTGAAACAATGTCGCATTCGAAGTGCGACATTTTCTTGTTTTGTCGTCGGATTTGGGAAATCGACAAAACAACCCACCAGTCGTGGAGGAGAGCCTAGGGTTCGGGAAATCGAAGCCGCCTTTGGCCCATGGTGCTGGCGGCACCAAAGGTGGTAATTTCGAGAACTATGAGGGTTGGGACAATGGTTTGAAATTGTCGAACGATTTGAGGAGGAACCGGTGACTTTAGAGGCGGAGGTGGGTGGTGCTGGATGGAGGAGGCATGTCGGCCAAGCTCCACATATTCAATTATGACGGAGAATGGGGCTCTTGGCTCACTATCGAAATAGAGAGAGTGGGGAAGAGAGAGAAATAGAGAATAGGGTAAGGGTAGAATAGGAAAAAGGAAGAACAAAAAAGAACAAAATTGATTAAAAATTATTTAAAAGCAAAAAGGGGAGTGGGAAAATCAGCTCCCTAATTAAAATTTAAGTTTTATCATAATCCAAGTTGAAATTGATTAATTAAATGTTTATGTCATGACATGTGCACTCATATCAATTGAGACTATAAAATTGTTGAAGAATACACAGAGTCCCACATCAGAAACTTAACAAAATAGAAAGTCTTATATAATAAATGGTTCTACTCCTAATAACATCGAGGCCTTTTGTATAAAACCTCATATGGTTAAGTGGGGGATAATATCGATGTTACTAGTGGTGGGCCAAGAGTCCGTTACTCTGAAATCTTAACATGGTATCAGAGCCAAATTTGGTGCATCAATTTGGCGTGGCTAGCATTACTAGAATTCAATAACACAAATTTCTTTTCTTATGAAATTAACACAAAATAATATCACAACTAAATCCAAACATATTTGGTACGTAGTACAGTCGAATGCTCTAATTAAGCACGCATGTTACGGCATAACACAAATTTAGTTACTACACTATACCCTAATTTGTTTTTGGCACTGAGACTAATGGTGATGGTGCGGCACCACATGCTGTAATATCTCCATCAAGAGGTTGGGAGACAATAACAAGCCCTGGATGATCCGAGGATTGCAAGAAGTAAGGATAAGTATGATCCATGGTTTCTGTTGGAGGAATTTTGGCTTCTGTTTGGGAGGTGTTGCTAGCGTCACCCATGAAGAGTTAGACGCAGTGGCGGATCTACAGAGGCGCAAGGAGGTGCAGCTGCATCTCCCCTCGCCGGAAAATCACTTTGAGAAGCTGGAAATGCCCCTCTGCTACTGCCCACCAGCTGTTCCATTATTTGCTCCAAAGAAGCTCCAGGCAGCAGCTCCTTTGCGCAGGCTGCAGCGCCCAGGGCTGCTTGGCTTCTTTTTTTTAAGTGATATGTCCAAAACGCATAGTTTTGGTCCAAGTGAAAAAAATAAAAATAAAAAAATAAAAAGAAAGGGCCACCACTACCCACACCGGCCAACTCCCCAACCACATTCCTTTTTTCTCAATCCTCCTCTGCCTCCATCATCCATTAGCTTCTCTTTGTGCTTTTTTCATTATCATTGACTATCTCTCACTCTCTCAAATTGGTACAACTAAATTCCATTACATTCATTCAGCAACGAAACCCTGAAAGGATCTCTCTCCCTCTCTGTATTAATTCTTTGATTCATTTGGTAGAAACCCATTTGTTTTAGAGGCAAAAGAAGGGTTGTGAAGTGGGCATAAGCCATGGCAACTCCAAAACCAGAAGAGATAAGCCATCCACCAATGGACCAACCCTCCACAATTTGTTTGGAAAATTAATTTCTCTCCCAAATTTCAAAGTTATTTCTCTTTATGCTTTAATTAATTAAGATGAATTGTTGGGTTTTGGTTAATTGATTGAGTTTTTGTTTTGGTTATTTTGTATAGATTTTTTTGAATTTATTTATTTGCATATATTTTTAATTTTTAATTAATTAATAAAGATTGTTGTGGTTTGATATGATTAATATGGTGAATTGGTTAATATTTCAATGTGGTGTTTATTTGTATATCATTAACATGGTGAATTGGTTAATGTGATAAATATAGTGTTTTTAGCCTTTTTAAATATCGTTTAAATTATCAAGGTATTTGGTTGTTTTTTTCATTAAGCTTTTAGGCTTTGAAATATTGCCCATTCCTTAAAATTTTCTGGGTCCGCCGCTGGTTAGACGCCTAGGGTTTGTAAACAAAGAGACACCTAGAATTGGCACTTTGATAACATGTCAAATTGGAGACTGTGTTGAGAAGAATATTTCTCTATGTATTGATAAAGCCAAAAGGCTAAGTATTTATAGAAAGATTTACAAATCCTACAAGGAATCCTAGGTTTACTTGGAGACTACTCCTAAATCAATTACAATCAATTACAGAAAAGGAAATAAAGAAACTTCCTAATTTCCAACACATATGGTTGTCTTAGGCATCCTAAAAATCCCATTTATTGGCTTTAACAGTTACCAACTCTATATTAGTTGTAGGTTAAATATGATTTTTTTTATATATAGTACAAGCGATAGTCTAAACTATAGGGGAGGTGCTTTCTCATACGCACACTGCTATATGATGCCACTTGGGGACCCATAGAGGCGCAAGGAGGTGCAATTGCTCCTCCTCTTGCCAGAAAAAGCCTTAGAAGTCGCCTCTTTGCTCTACCTTGAAGGTGCCCACCAATTCGAGTAAATGCCTCATTGACGTTTTCTCTTCTTTGCTATGAGCAGTAGTGCGTTTCTTTTTTTAAAAAACAGAAGTTAGGAAGATTGTGTTCCTTGGTTCCGAGCTTTTGCTTCTAAACTATGTAGGTTCTATATTGGCAGCGAGTTTCATGCCTCAAGTGAGCGCATATTCCTTTGAAATTTGAAGTGTATCTCTAGATGCTCGCATGGTTTATGCATTTAGACAAAAGCTAATGACTTTGACTTATTGTGTTTGTGAAATTCTTTTTTACTCAAAAAATTTAATTCATAGGTTGAGTGATAGCTTGGTTGTTTACATTGAGAAATATATTTTTGCTTGTATTAGTAATGAAAATATAATTGAACGTTTCATGATATGAAACCTCGTCAACAATTGTAGCTTAATTTTAACTGAGCATACTTGTTGTCTCTACCCGACTGCATCAATTGCAACCAAGCAGGAGTCATATTATGTGAAGGAAAAATCAGAATAGAAAAGGTTGTCTTTCATGACTTTTGCAACAAGTTAGGAGAAGACTCTTGGATATAGTAAAGAGAGATGTGTTATATGTAGAAAGCCAAGTACATGTTGTGCATGCTAACTCATATCTTAATTTTTTTTAACAATATTTTGACATGATTCGATTTAATTTTGGTAATCAAATTGGAGAAGACTCTTGGAATGAAAATGTTTGTTCCAGCCTGACTTCTTAGCTCAATATTATCCATACAATAAAGTTGAAGTGGATGACTTTAAAATCCCAGGGTTTAAACTTTTCTTTTGACTTGGAAGCATCCAAAATTTTCAAGGATTTCGGAGTGGTGATGATGCATTTCACTAGTAATTTGACAGAGATGTCTGCCCCCCCCACCCCCACATATTTCGAAGAAAATCACAACGATTTACAAGAACCAAGCTTTGAATTGAAGGAGTTAGCAAATCTACTCCCACAACAGCTTACGAAATTAAAGATTTTGATGCGAACCCAAAATCTAAAAAGAGGGCACGAATTCATGTAAAAAGAGAAACTTGGTTTAGGATTGGTATTAGGGTGTTGTGTGATAGAGTGTATTAGTGTGTACTAGGAGTATTTTTGGTAGTTAAATATGGTGTACATAGTTAATTTTACATTTTGATTAAAATATTAAGGTGTACTTAGATCATAGGATATACTCAATTAATTTTAGAGTAGTAAGGATATGAATGTGATGTAAAGCGCAGTGGAAAGAGATTGTTGAGAATAGTGGTTGAAGTGGAAATGAGTGGCTAGAATCCTTATATGAGCTTCGTTCAACATGGGGGTTAGTTCCCATCCATATTATTGAGCAGTACCTCATTCCGAATTCCCAAATCATGACCACAAAAATTAGATACCCAATCTAATTGAAGCAACAACGACAACACAGAAGAAAAAAAAAAATCTTCAGTGAGTAGGCCAACCATTGTGGAAATCAATAATGTGGAATACACCAAATTTGAGTTCTAGATGACATAGAAAGTGGCACGTCATAAGTATTTTGTTAACTAATTTCAAATTAAATTATGATTTAGTTAATATATTTTAGGAAGAAAATTAAAAACCTTTAAACTTAATTAATCAAAAGTCCTGCAGCCGGTCCTAAGTCAAGCTTCTTGTTGTACCATCGTTCCAAGAACAATCAGAAATAAATGAAACCCTTGACCCACTAAAGAAACGGAATCAAAACTATGTACTACTACTGATTTGCAAATGTAACAATTTTACGGTTAGAAAAGTGAAACCCAAGGATTTGATGGAGTTTCTGATCATGGTGATCAAGGATCATTGACTGGCGGAGAAACACCATTGATTTGTTGAAAGGAAGAGAAGAGAAGGAGAAGGGGATTTAGGATCGGATTATCTTTTTAATTGCTGGGACTTCTTGGAGTTGAGTCGAATGTGCAAGCTCAGTGTATATATAGAAATTCCGACTTTTTTATTTTCAATTTGGAGATTATAGAATAGTACGATAGTATGATCCCGTTGAACTCTCTTTTTACTATTATATAGGTGACTTAAAAATCAAGCAGATAACTCAATCCAAACATACGGTAGCTAGTAGAGTAGAATGCTGCTGAATAAAAAATGCATGCTACGTTATAAATTATAATGCAGGTAATAATTAGTTACTACATTTTAGCGCACTTTTCATTTTTATTTTTTGTCCTTGGAACATACTCCATAGTCTAGCTTCAATAAAAATTTCATAATTACATGTTATCCAAGGAGTGCAGATGTGAAAGACTTGGTGAAAGTTTCAAGTGCTTTCAACCCTTCTTCTGGAGACTTGGCTTCCCCCAACACCTTCACAATGGCACTACCAACAATAACACCATCAGCTCCCCACTCTGCTACTTGTTTCACATGTTCAGGCTTTGATAGCCCAAAACCAACTGCCACAGGCTTGGTTGTTGCCTCTCTAATTTCCCTTAAAAGCCTCGGAACTTGTTCGTTCACCGATTCACGGGCACCGGTAACTCCCACAGTGCTCACAAGGTATACAAATCCTTCTGAAGCTTCAACTATCTTCTTCATTCGATCTATTGGCGTAGTGGGAGTAGTTAGTAATGCCAACTCAACATTATTCTTCACAGCCTCCTTTCTCAAGCTTTTCGTCTCTTCAAATGGAGCATCTGGAACCACAAGACCATGTACCCCAACGTCGCTAATTGTGGACATGAAGTTTTCAATACCATGCTTTATGATTGGGTTATGGTACGAAAATAGAACGATTGGACAAGACAATTGTGGGACCACATCCTTTAACATTGACATAATAGAATTGAAATTGGTCCCTCTAGCTAAGGAACGAGTGGCTGAAGCCTGAATAACTGGACCGTCTAGTATTGGATCAGAGTGTGGCACACCTAACTCGATCGCGTCCGCCCCACTAGAATCGAGCACCTTCAGCGCTTGCGCCGTGGTTGAAAGGTCGGGATCACCGGCAGTGATGTAAGGGATAAATGCTACTTTGCGTTGGTTCTTCAATTTTGTGAAAGTTTGAGAGAGATTGATGGTAGGTGTCAAGGTGAGAGCAGCCATTGGTGTTATAAGACGTCTCTTGACTGAAACGGTAGATGCTTGGGATGGAGAGTGAAGAAGAAATGGGTTTTGAGGTTTCTTAAGTTGAAGAAAGCCAGTAGCAGTGAATTTCATAGAAGTAGCCATTAATGTTGTAGTAAAGGATGAAGACTTTTGGAGGGATGCTTGCTAATGTTTGATACAAATACAAGCCAATACTTATAAGAGTTCCCAGGAAGTTTGGGACATAGAAAAGTAGAACCGACATTGGACGTATGAAATTTAAACGTGGAACAGGTTTCTTTTCCTACAAAAGTAACGTGTAATATTTGGACAATAGTGTTTCTGAGACCACCGAGTCATGTCACCACGTGAGAAAATAGAGTCAAAAGTACAAGGTATATATGCGGCCAAGTTCGAATTGTCTTCCAAAACAAAAAAAACCATTAAACAACAATGGACCATGGACAAGGAAAGAAAGAAAACTACCTACATTTTGACGTATCAGTATGTCATCTTGTACTATTTGTACAAAACGAAATTAAGTTTGGTAACATGGGCAGGTTGGTCAATGAACTCCTCACCATTATTGGTGGACATTCAAATTAAATATAATAAATATAAAATTAAATTATTTGGCTGATATCTGAAAAGTAATATAATATAGGTTAATTTTTCTGTCAAAAATTGCATATCACCTTTTTCCCACAAAAACTGCATATCACCTTTTCTTTTTAGCACAGAAACTAATGAATTCTGCAAGAACAGCTTTTTCATCAAAAACCCACTCGATTGTGAGTCCATTCCCATCCCCCAACTCCATCAATTGTTGGGTTGCAACTTCAGCCAACGTATCCAAGGAAGAAGAAGAAGAAGATGATGATGATGAAAATACCCTTTTGTTTTGCTTGACCATGGCCTTCTAAGGAATCAAACACCCATCAAATCCATATCCACGAAGTGGGTTGCAGCAGCAATTTCTCATAGCCATGGCCATGGCCTTCTTAACATCATCTTTCTTCCAATTTTTGACGATAACAAAAACCTCTGAGAGAAGATTCAACGAATCTGGTTGGGCCGAAGAGAGAGAGGGGTTGTGCTGAGGATGAATCTGGTTGTTCTGGGAAGAGGTTTTTGGATTGATAGAGATAGAGAGAGAAGGTGGATTTGGGCAGTGGCTATGGCGGATCTGGGCTGGGTGGATGAGAGTGAGAAGGGTGGTGGCTGAGTGGTGGTTCGCGGGAGACGTGGCAAACGTGGTTGTTTTGGTGGTGGCTATGGCGGATTTGTGTTGTCGGTGAAGTTTCTGATTTGGGTTTACTCCAATTAGGGTTTTTTTTTTCCCGTATTGGTTTCTTCAATTTTGTGATTGCTTTTGGGTTTTTTATGTGGTTTCGTTTATATTTGTAATCACGAATAAGGTTTTTCAGCTTTGATTTGGGGTTCTCCAGTGAGCCTGTAAATCTGGATGCTTGGGCCCGACATTGGAGATGGCCGCACCTTGAAGGGCAGAACAATTCCATGGAGTAGAATCAATTGATGGTCTGTTCAGAGCTCGAAAATGGAGGGTTGTGGATAAATTTCCGAATTTACCCTCACTTTTGACAGAAAATTTAACAGAGTTTGACGGAGGGACTACTGGTGCAATATAGCACCTAGTTGAGTGACCCCTGCAACTAATAATTGAATTGAAGGACCAAAGTGTAAATACGGGTATAGTTGAGGGACCATTCCTACGAATAACCCTATAATATAGTGTGCCCTACACAAAGTGTACCCAACTAAAGCCAAGTAGTATTGTTATGTGTCGGCAAGATAATAACCATCCATCAGTGCAGAGAGCTTTTGGAAAGGAAATAGCAGTGATGAGGCTGTCAAGATAAACAGATGATCACTTGAATACTCAAAAAAAACAGAGCGCTTTTGAATTGGAAAAGATGCTTCGAAATAATCTGTGGGATTGCTACTTGATAAAAACAAAACGCTTTTTGAAGTTAGTTATCAAATTGTTCAATTTTTAATATTAAAATCCTCAAGGTTATGTAAATGTCTTGAAAGGTTAATCGTTTTATTAGTCTTTGAATTTAGACCCGATTTGCATTTGAGTACTTCAATTTCCAAAATGGTTCCCGTGGTCCTTTAACTTCACTTTCGTTAGGACAAATGTTCTTGCCGTCAATTTTGTTAACTTTTTCTGTTAAATGCAGGGGCAAAATGGTATTTTTATGTTAAAACAAAAAAAATAAATAAAAAATCATATCTTTAAAATAACAATAAAAGAAAACCAAATAAAAAACCAACCAAAAAAAAAAGAAAAAGCAAGTTTGGGGGAGTAGAAATCCAGATAGAAGTGGAGAGAGAGAGAGAGAGAGAGAGTTTGATTTTAATTTTTAAATTTTTAAATTTTTTATTCATATTTTAATCAATTTTGATGCAAAAATACTAATTTGCCCCTGCATTTAACAGAAAAATTAACAAAATTGACAACAGGACCATTTGTCCTAACGAAACTAAAGTTGACAAACCACGGGAACCATTTTGGAAATTGAGGTACTCAAATGCAAATCGGGTCTCAGTTCAGGGACTAAAAAAACGATTAACCCTTGTCTTGAATGAAATAGTCCAATATTTCATAACTTTTTACTTGTTTTTTTATTTAGAGAAAAGTGATAATTGTATTCATAAATTAGGCCCTAAGATCATCAGCCAGAAGGGAAAATACAAATACCCATAAAGGGGTAATACGAATACAGAAGCATAGTAACCACATCGGGTTAATCCAAATACCTGCCATATAAGACCAGAGATATTTTGGCGTAAAAGCCGCATGCCTGAACAAACAAGACGTGAAGCGCAACGCCCAAATATACCAATACAACTATAACTTTTAAACTCTCACAAGTACAAAAAAACAAGTAGAGACTAGAACAATTAAACACCCAACTCACAAGGAGTTGATGTAATTATTACCAAACAACAAAACAACAAGCACACAACAATCAAAAGCGAACAAATCCACTATCACCGCTTTTGCCTCCTCCACTACAACCGACATCGCCACCTTTGAGACAAAGAACACCATTGAGATTACAACCAAGAGCCAAACAAATTTAACCACCCAAACCACATATCCAAGCATATATGAGTAAAAAACCAAAATCCAAAACACATCTAGGCACAAATAACCTCCCCCAACTAAAATCCCAAATCCAGAAGATGAGGCGAAGGGGGGGGGGGGGGAGATTTTTAGGGTTTTAAGCCCCTTCTTCTTCTTCTTTTTTCATTGCAAATGTTATAATAATGTGATAGATGCAGTATTTCATAACCCTTTACTGCAATTATTTCATAACCTTCCAATATTTCTTAACTACTCTCCAAAAAAACCTTTTACTGCAAATGCATGTTTCATACTATCATTGTTTTACACACTAGGCCAACATTTACATATACTTGGCCGCTGCTACTTATGTTCAAAAGGTGGTTCTAACTATTCACCATGAAGCAGCCTAACTTCCAAAACACTTCACATGGATTTCCCACATTTTCCCAATTTCTAACCCACAAAACAACAACATTTTAGAATGCAGCAGTATTCCAACACCCATTAAATTTCCAGGTGAGGCAAAACATTAACAGATCCATTTAGATTTCTCACGTTGCGAAGGGCTTCTAATGCTACTACCAAATCTCAGAAACCAGCAGCCTACATCATGGAGTTAATCTCTAGGATCAAAGTTACTTGCACCTTATCCATGAAAGATGCATCTAGTTCAACTTTGTGTCGCACAAAACTTGTTTCATGTTACTCCCTGTGCTTAAGTTGCTCCTCACCAAGCCTCTGCATCTCCATTTCGAATTGCAAAACATTAACGGATCCATTTAGATGTCACATGTTGCGAAGGGCTTCTAATGCTACTACCAAATCTCAGAAACTAGCAACCTGCATTGCGGAGTTAATCTCCATGACCAGAGTTGCTTGCACCTTATCCGTGAAAGATGCATCTAGTTCAACTTTGTGTTGCGCCAAACTTGTTTCATGTTACTCCATGCGCTTAAGTTGCTCCTCACCAAGCCTCTACATCTCCATTTTGAATTGCTCATTTCTTCCTTTGCTCCTCAAGTGCTTCTCCCAGGGTATGAACCTCTCTTGAAATCCCTCTTTGCTCAATTATTATCCCATGCACATATGCCCATGACACCCTAGCTCCAAATCCTCTAGCTCAATTTCGTTTCTTTGGGCCCAACACCTCACAATACACCTCATTCATTACTATATAACTCATGTCTATTCATTCATTAGTTCTTTTTTTAATTCGTCTATTGAAATCATCTTGAAAACAAATTTAAAAAATGCTTATATCAGTAGCATAAGCAGTTTTTCAAAAATAGTACATCATTGGCTGCACGTAACTTATAATGTCAAGCCTCGTCCACTGGTATTTCATTCTCTCCACAAGTGTGGGTTAGTTTGAAGAATGTGAACTTGTCTAGTTCCTTCCCAAGCTTCTTCCTGTTCAATATTTTACAGATTATGGGAGTCACTCATCATTAACCATCATGTTATAAACTCCTCCCCCACATGCATAAGTTATGAATTAAACTTCTATCTTCTATCATATATTGCAATCTTGTGAAGAGAACTACTATCATTACCAACCACCATACAAATTTATATCAATGTATATCTAAATATTATATTTTTGGTTAGCCTAGAATATAGTTGGATCGAAAAAAAATTAAAAACAAGCCCACAACATAGTTGGTTCATTACCTATCAAATAACTGAGATGCTTGGTATATGTTGTTAATTACTAGTCCACTCGGAGTAATTATATGAGACAATAAAATGAGTGTAAACATGGCATCACTGTCACGCCCCGATTCGAGAATAAAGACTATTCCTGAATTAGGGTGTGAATCATACCATAGTTATAAGAATAAAATTTGACAACCATGATATGATGAGAAATGAAGCCACAAATAATACAATTTTACTTAATAATACAGAATCAGAGTCACAGTAGCTCGTAGTTAAATACACATTAAGATCCTTATCAAACAGTTTACTACTTACAAATACTAATTATACAATTCAACAACAAAAGCCTAGTAGCTTGATTGAAACTCGCTTCCTCAAACTTTGCATTGAATCCTGCACAATCTATTAAGGTATGAGCATTCTAAT